AGTCAACGAACGTGAATTGCGATCTTCGATATCAATCATGTCTCTCCATGCAAATGAGGCATGAAAACATCTGCGAAATTGAGAGACAAACTCTTTGCGCGCGCGAGCACGCACCGTTTAGCTTTTATATACTACATTGACCTGAAAATGTACACAAGGAGCTCGCGAAGCCGAGCAGCTGCTCGGCTCAAAACTTATTATGTGCTTGAATTCTTGTACATAGTATTTTTCGCTGCTGCCACGCGAGATGAATATTTGCGAATAGGCAGAGAAAGACTTTCTCTCCGCAAGACTTGTGCGTATTATAGGTCCTTTGAAAAATCTCGACTATTTTTTTTTCTTCTTTTTTTTGTTTTCTCGAAAAACTCCGCGAGGAAGAATCATCATCCGGCACTTGCTCTCGAGTGTATATACGTGTGTAGTGCGAAAAAATATGCCTACCTGCCTGCCTGTGCGCGCGATCTGACACAGAAAATAGTCGTGCGTGTAAATATACAAATTAAAAGCGTGCGCGCAAAAAAAGATTTCAATCAAGACATTTCCGGCTCGATCCGTGTTATTTTCTAATTCGAATGTATAGAAAGTGGTATTTCTCTCTCTTTCTGTGCTCGAGTTTATATACGTCTGCATGTTTATCATTTTTTTTGTTATAATTAAACAATTAGTAATAAACTTTTTTTTATTATTCATCGTTCAGAAAAAAAATATAACACTCACACTTGTAAACACGCCCGATTCACACAACGGTCCAATGCAAATCATGGGCGATCGCGAAAGTCGTGTGTCACCCACGCGCGAGCTCACTTTCTCTCGCCGTATGCGACGCGATAGCCGCACCACGAGGAGGTGATTCTCCCGTTCCGTCATTTTTTTTGCATTGTATAAAATGTATCATTGTTGTAACCAGTCGTCGTCGTCGTCGTCGTCGTCGTCGTCGTGCGGGTAAGAGTTATTTTTTCACGCTCGCTCGATTCGAACTCGTCGTACGAGAAAGAGAGTGACGAATTTCTCGTGCGCCTGCATCGCGTGTATAGTAGTATGCTGATCGCGACCCTCGATGTCCTCGTCGTCGACGACGACGATCTTTATTATTAACTGGAAGAAAGAGAGAAATTTTCGATCGATGCTCGCTGACGCAAATCGGTATAGAAATTGGCCGCTCGTGAGCGTCTATTTATTGGGTCATACCGATCAGTGCTATATAGTATACCTAACTAATATTATACATGCCTGTGAAGATTTGTCACGTTTTTTTCACGTATAGAAAACAAAACTTGGTAATCCGTCGGTCGCGCATCTCGTTACAATGCTTACTCAATTTTCGATATGATGAAATCCTAACAATAATTTACATCTGGTATACTCGGTACACATATTGTACGCGAGTAACAACAACAAAAACAACAACCACAACAACAACAACAACAATTTGGGTCATCTCCATCGCGCGCGCTAAAAAATCCCGCCGCCATGTACGTCAAAATATTTACTTTCATCGCATCAATATTCGATTCATCATAGAACGAAATAACGCGCGTTATGGTGCAGTGCCGCGCACAAAAATTAATAGACTTTCATCGTGCGCAGAGCAGTGCAGCTCTCGCGCGCAAGCCTACGTACATATATGCATATATATTAATATCATAAGGAAGCACTTAAAACGGCGTATCCGCCGCACCGAGATCGATTTGTCCGAGATAGGCGCGTTAATATGCCTCGCTTGCGTACATGAGTTATTTCTAAGGTCCTCCTCGGGAGCGTTGACGTGAGGCATGTATTCACTTTCACCCTGCAGTGTGCTGCGCACTGCACACCTCGAAGCTATATAATATAATATACATATTACACTCGTTTCACGCCCTTTTTTGCTAACTATATATACTATGGCTGCACGCGAGGATCGATCGAGCACAGTCATCGGTCATTACGTAAAATCGTTTTTGTTCTGCGCTGCTCGTTGTTGTTGTTGTTATTGCTGTTGTTGCTGTTTTTGTTGTTCCATCAAAATTTTCCTTTCGATACGCTGGCAAAAAACTTTCCTGCCTCCGTGTGCACCTGCGCGCACACTTTAACTCGTGGTTTCACTCCCATGAACAAAGGAAAATTTCATCTCCTTTTCTCTATTAGCTGGACGGCAGCGGCGGCTTTTATCACTCTGCGCTCATCCGCGAGGTAGTAGCAGTAGGCACATTACGTCTCTATATATTGTGCGCCGTGCGCGCGCTTACAACACTAAAACGCATCTGCGCAGAAAAAAGAAAATAATAAAAAAACTCTCCTCGATGTTCTAAAAATATAAAGCTGCGTTGCTGTATATCGCGCACCTACGAATAGGAGTTCGGCCTAAATAGCAATTAGGCGAGTCATCGTTATTATGCGCGCGCGCGGGCAAAATTAACGCGGTGAAAGGGGGAATGAAATACACACACACACAGGCACACTCATACACGAGTAAGTGTATCGCACGAAATGTGGCGAGAGTAAGTATATTACACATTCGATCGATATCCTCGCACGGCTCTCGGCGAGTCGAGAGATGATCTTTTTGGGATATCTTTTCTCTCTCACTCTCTTGTCTAAACCGGCCTATATGTGCGCTCTAGCTCGCGAGCTCGCGTATTAACCTCGATGCGTGTGCACTGATAAGCTTAACTCTGTAGTCCTATAGCTGCTGTGCGTGTGTGTGTGTGTTTTGCACTGACCAGGGACCTGGTGGCCGGTCGATTAGAGTCTGATTTATGTACTCGAGGCAATCCGAGAGCAGCAAGCAGCTGCAGTGGTGATTACGAAATTAATTAGAAGGGGATGTGTCGATCGATTATACGTACCGATTAGAGATTACGATATCTCAATTCGCGAATTCAAACGCACGCGTATAGAGGCGAACTGCTGAGCGCCTGAAAATGTTCTCCATTAAAAGAAAGCCAATTGTAATTCAAGAAGAAGAAAAAAGTGACGTCCGCAAGTCGTAAGGATATACATACATACATACTTTCGAGGATGGAAAAAAGAACACAAGTGTGTGCAACTGCAACGCGTAAAGGCACACACATGCACGCGATGAGCGCGTATACAGCTAGACATTATACAGTCGCACCGTATAATAATGCTATATACTACAACACGTATAGCACCATAAGAGGTATATATACATTTTAAAAGGCCTATGAAATTTAATTAAACGTCATGTTGTAAAATCACCCCACTTTGACAAGATAACAGCGCGGTGCGCGGTACTACTATATAGTAGCTTAACAGTGGCAGCAGCAGCAGCCATCGTGTCCAGGCCGTTTCTTTATTTACTATATATATATAGAGAGAGAGAGGATACGCGCGCATGAAGCACTTCGATATAATAATAAACCGCACCTTTTAACTGCGCGCGAAAAAAGCCTCGGCGCACACACACACAACTCAATTAACCCGTTAACGCAATTTTCGTATATAACAACTTCTTTTTTTTTTGTTTTCGTTGTTGCTGTCGGGCATGGACAATTATTCGAGAAAATGTCCAATACACCGAACTCGAAGGTTTGACAAGCTCGATGGTCTTGTGCGTCGCATGTGTGCGATGTTTGCAACGAGGAAAAAAAGTAGCAACAACAAAAAAATGGCAGAAAGAAAAAAAAGTCGCCTGCGCGAAACTGGAAGCCGAGTCGTCTCGCTTCTGAAAATTTCTAGGACAAATGCTCGTAGCTAGGCTGGCAAGCTGCTGCTGCTGCTTCTTCTATACATACTGCTCATGTGCTATATGATGCATGTGCAGTGTATGTAGGTATATATACGGCTCGTCACTGTCATTTGAGAAAAATCGAGCACCAGCTACATACAGATATACACACATGATACAACGTGCGCTCGAGCTCGATCGGCAGAAAATTGCCCGGTATACCCGTGCTATCCTATGGCATTATAAATGCATATACGTGCACGTGCCCCTGTTTTGTGCTCCGCGCTGCAGAGCGAAAATCGCCGATTAAAATCCATTTCCCGAAGAGCAGCAGCAGCACAACAATGAATGGAGCGTACTACAATACACGATTAGATCGAGCGCCCGCTAATAATAATACTAGTCGCGAGCGAGAGCCACCGTGACACGTGTTGATGAATAGCGAATTGTTTTTGGCCCCGGCACGTACCTGTACACATTCATACGTCCTATAACGCATTGCAATGGCACTGCCGAGTGAGAGAGAGAGAGAGACGATCGGTGCACCTCGCGCGTCTCGTCGCGACTCGGCGGCAGTGCAGCTGACCCCTTTGACGTTGCGAGCGCGCAGACGTCGAAAGTGGATCAGACTGCGAAGCTTTTTTCGCGGCGTATAAGATATTACCGCGCGATCCTTGTGTATATTATACGTTTCTCGAGCAGCAGCAGCCTGAGTGATGGGCAAAATGATGCAAGAGACACGACGACGACGCTTGGCAATTTACGCGATCGCGTATATAAGTCCGAGGAGGCCAATTGAACGCAATATGCGCGCGGATTTTTTTGTCCTTTTTGCTCTAGCAGCAGCGATAGATGTGTCTCGGCCGTGCGCATATATATAGATCGTAGTCGTACGTACGTTGTATATACAACGTTGGCCTCTCTGCCCGGCTTCTTTTTTTTGTCCTTTTTCCTTCCTTTTTATATGATCGCGTCGTCGTGCAGGCGGCGCATTAATCTTCTCCGCGTGTGCAAAGCTCGCATTCCATTTGACGCCGCCGCGTTCTCTCTCTCTCTCTCTATCTCTCTTAGAGCTATTGTTTTTGTTTATCGCTCGCGAGCAAACTTGTTTCGTCGATTTTATGTACTTGTAGTATGTAGGTGACGCGTGTACGAGGCATGTGTTTATGGATACACGTATGTGGGATCGAATTCAATGTGCTACAATTTCAATGGTTCACTTTAGCCTTTTATTATAACATTTCGGTTGAAGAAAAAATTATCAAGAATTGTATTTGAATTAGTGAATTCCATGGAGGGCCAAAGGCTCGTTCAAGTAGCTACGAGCTACTTAGTTTTGGTTTCCAGCGATCTGGACGACGGAGGTGGCGTCGCGTCCAGCTCCGGATACGGCAGAGCCAACCTGTCCCTGAGCGAGACCACCGGGACGGCGTCCAAGACGACCTCCACGGTTGCCACCCTGGTTACCGGCGATCTGCACGGCGGAGGTGGCGTCGCGACCGCCTCCGGCGACGGCGTTTCCAGCGTTACCCTGGAGGGTGCCACCGTTGGGCAGCCTGCCGAGACGACCGCGGCGACCTCCCTGTTGGCTGCCGGCGATCTGGACGACGGAGGTGGCGTCGCGGCCGGCTCCGGCTACGGCCGATCCGGCGTTACCCTGGAGGACACCGTTGTTGCCGAGACGACCGGGACGACGACCGTTGATGATTCCTCCCTGGAGTCCGCCGACTTGGACTGGTGGGTTGCGACGACCGCCACCGACGCCGACGAGTCCACCCTGGCCCAGGGCACCGCGGCGACCACCGCGACCGTCGTTGATGACTCCGCCCTGCAGGCCGCCGACGTTGACCTCTGCGAGAAAAAAAAAGAAATTACCTCGTGAATCGACCGATTTTCTTACGACAGTACATTTCTGACATGCTACTTACGAGCCCAGGCACAGCCGATCAATGCAACGATCAAGAGAACTACTGCGGTCTTCATCTTGGTTTACTCTGCTTTGGAACTGAGTGTGCCTTTTCCGAAACCTCTCGCAGCTTTTATACTCGTCGAATTTTCGTCGCGCTCCTCGGGGCCAATAGCAAATTTTAATAAAATATAAATATTAGACTTTTGATCGTTATAAATATTCTTTGGACGGTGTTTATTTTGTCACGTCTTTGTTGATCGAGAAACAAAGGTTGCAGCCGTTTTTTTTCTTTTCTTCGATCGCGTAACAATACGCAATGATCGTGTACAACCTCCTCGATAACGGCAGCAATAATACAACGACTTTTTCAGTGTGCGATAAATCATTCGCATGGTTTTATCAGACGCGCAAAGTTATTTCTATATATCCGCCAAATTTAACTTTCGTTGCTGCGTCGGCCCAATGATAAGGCATAAGACACACAAAGCTGGAAAAAATGCATATGTCCCCCCCGCGCACACACGCACGTGAAATATTTTCAAAAGCTGTCAGTCATGCAAGTATGTATACGCAAGAGCTAGATGGTATAATGCTTTTGACGATCTTTCAATCTGGGGATAAAGAAAAAAAAATCGCTTGGAATTTCAAAGTTGAGGTTCGCCAAAATTTTAATCACCTTATAAATTTATGGATGGAGCAATTTTGAACGATGTCGGAGATTTCTATATCGATTATACACTGCTTAGGAATGATTTTCCAGTTCATCTATAGTACTCGCAAGCATCGTTATATAAATATACTAAAAATATATAATTTTGGGTCAAGTCGAATGGTTATGCGACAAGAAAGCTTTTCATAATTTCATAATCGAGGCACAAGATTCTGAATTATGATGTGTTAACTTTTGTTGATGCGTACATATCAAGAGGTGCGGTAGCACCTAGCCGGCAAAGTATAAAAAAAAAAATTATTAAAAAATTATTAAAAAAAAAAATCATTTGAAAAAAAAAAATTAATTGGAATTTGAAATTAAAAATTTTCAAAAAAATATGTAAATACACATTGAAACTTATTATTGTACTTTAACGTGAACATTAATAGCACATGTATATTATAAATACAAATTAATACATTATTAATTTGCATTTTATGTATATTTTATAACAAAATTCTTTCAATTATAAAAATTATAACTAAAATTTTATACGTTTTGTTTCATGAAGTTTCCATTATAAAAAATTAATCATGCACAGTTTTTAAATAATTGTGGAAATCAATTACATTTTCATTGGTAAATGTAAGAATTAATATGCCAAAATTCGTTTAGTATAATAACAAGATTTATCGTAATCAAAGGTGTCTTACTTGCTTGTGAGCTTTTCGACTGTCGACAGATGGCGTGTTGCAAACTCGCAAATGACAAAAAAAATTTTGTAGGGTATATATGTACAGAGTGTATGTACAAAGTGCTATGAAAGAAAAATCTATAAGTAAAATGACGCGAAGAAAAACACATCACATTAAAACACCGTCAAATAAACATACCTTATCGAAATACTATGAATAAAACACACCTCATAGAATCACGATTGAACGAATTGCATGAAAAATTTTACGGAGCTTGTGCGTTTTGTGCATGTAAATGCACCGATGATATTTAATGTAGTTATTTCGTGTGTGTTTTGTGCATGTAAATGCACGTATGATATTTAATGTAGTACTTTTGTTCCACCGTAAATTATCCTGCTTCATGACATCTCTAAGAGGCACATCCTCAAATTTTCCTCGGTACCACTCGACCTACTTTCTAGAAATTTTAGCACTTTGTCTCGTCAATTCGGAATCGATGGAAATGTTGTTTGTCGTAAGTACGTTTTATTTTTGCAACGAGTATGAATTTCGTGACTCAGCGGAATTCATCTATACAATATAGCTGCGGCATTACAGAAAATGGACCATTAGAAATCGAACTTGCTCGCGGATGGAACAATGCGTTTACCGCTCCCAAACTACATTGTATCAATTTCCATTACTCACTTCATTAGGGAAGTTTCCACGTATGCAAGTTTGAAACTATCACCACCGCTATAATGCGTGAAATAGATCTGATAATGTTAACAAATTGTTTTGTGCATTCGATATAAACAAAGATTATCGAGACGTAACGGGCAATAACATTTTGCAGTTACTATCTCGACCGTCTTGCGTATGAAATCATGAAAAGTTTTTTTTTGTTATTTATTAATCGTACAGTAAAACGTCTGAATGAGCGACTCTTGCGTCGAATAAGTCAGATTGTTCAAATATCATTAAAATTCGAGGTGCTCGTTACGCAATTTTCTGTCGAAAATCAGTGCTTCATTGTTGATTTCAATTTTTCACATGGTGCGAGAGATCTCGTAGTAGGAGAGTTAAGCAATGGAGCATTAAAATTTGAAACGCAATAGTTTACAAACCGTGTAATAAAATTCATTGCCGGAATTGACGCATCCATTCGCAGCTGTCAAGTATCAATACGACGTGTAATTCGAATTTATCTATCAATCGCGTCACATAAATTTCACTCGCTGCCGGGTACATATGTATTACGGCAGTAAATTCCATCGCGTGTCCATTTGGAATATCGCAATAACAAAAAGAGAAAAAAAGTATCGAGGAAAAAAAGGTCCCGACGCAGTTGATTCGTACACACGGCAAAGTCCCCCATTGTAATACTCCCGCGCCAAGTAGTATGTATTATCGGCATTGGCTCATCTTATCTTGCGTTTCGCGCGCGAAACTTTTCGCTATTATATAGGCGCTATTGAGTCGGGACGCGCGTATGCTGCCGCTGCTGCTGCAGCCGAGTATCTATCAGTGTTTCGAGGTTACGCACAAAGTGCATACGCGTAGCATACACACGCGTGATATACAAAAGTGGAATATTAGAGAGAGGAGATTTTCGAATCGATGATGAATACCCATGGCCTATAGATTTTCTCGCGGTCCATAAGATTCTGTTTATGTACGTGTGTGATATCGAAAGGTTTTCTATATAAGCAAAAGAGCATAGACCAAAGATTCATCTCGATGGTTAATTTTTCGTTTCAACGTTGAATTGAAAAATGCGGAGGAAAATTGATGATGAGCGAATTCGGGTTTATGCAAGTGTACGTTTTTTTGTTACAAAAGAAAAAATTACAATAACACTATAAATGTTTTGTTTTACACAGCGTATAAAGTGTGTAAGTTTAAAGTCTCGCTTTATTTACATCGTCTCGCAGCACCTGTTCAAGAATTCACTTTTATATAATATTTGAATTTCGTTTGTAATTCTTTTCGATAAAAAAAAATCAAAGATTCGACAGTCAGCGAGACACTCGGATAAGAAAAATGATAACAAAAAGTAAAACGATTTTTGCTCTCTGTCTCTTTCTTCGCGTCCAAAGTCAAGGTCTTGTCGAACCGATCGTCCACAGAGGATAAACATCATTCGCAGCTCTCTATGCCCGGAGCGAGTATATATGCTATATAAGAGTGCTCGAGGTCGATCCGAGAAGGAGGAAAAATCCTCGGCAGAATCGAGTTTACGCGCCCTGTTGCGCCGGAAGCATTCGTTTAAAACATTATATATAGCGTACAATATATGCGTACACACATGGTGCCGCTGCTCTAGAGCCGTTCGATTATTATAGGTATTTTCTTGGCACTACTAACAGCCGCACTATACGACACCGGGTTACAAGGTACATATATACACGCGCAGCAGCAGCAGAGTCTCAGGCTCTTAAATGGGAAAACGTTGATACGACACTGGAGATTAGAGCGCGTCCGAGCGCATATAAGCGAGTTTCTCCGCTCTTAGGGATTCTGATTGAGTTGACTTGTACGTGGTCGTGGCCTCCGGGCGCATCTGCGTGTCCTGCCGTCGCAGCAGCCTTATATATTGCGCGCACACATTTTCTTATACCCGTGTATCGAAGAAAAAAAAACACAGCCATCGAATGTATGTTGCTGCTCTTGCCGCGCGCGCGTTACTTTGCGACTTTCTATGTGTAGCTCGATTTGGTTTATATAGATATATATTTGCTTCGCGAGACTTTAATTAATATTTCGAGAAATGCTTTTCTATCGGTTTTTTGTGCGTGAAAAAGTTTCCAATACGAACGATATAATATAATGCCTTCGATTGGTAGTACAGCGAGTCGCTCGAAATTCGACGATTGACAAAGGCGACTCGAACTTATAGGAATGCACTTTCATTAAGCGCTGCGTAGCTAACACACAGGATAGGCCAATGATCTCATGAAAATCAGTTTTAATCAGTGCGCCGGCACGCACCGCATGAATCGAAAGTACGAAACAATCGCTCCGCTAGTCGCGACTCGAGCTTAGTCCTGCTCGCTTTAAATTCTTAGCTCCCAGGGAGAGTAGATAATTTTTTTTTTTCATTCTCGTTTATATATTCTTCGAGCTGCCTGTATAGAGAGGCAAATTCAATGATATAGTGGATCGCGAGGCTTGCCGTACAGCTTTTCCCATCGTTTCCGCACAATGAAAACTCCGATGAGGCGCCCCGATAGCCCGAGCGCGGCACATGCCGATCGCTATACGTACTGCTACTGCAAAGCTGATGGAATTTCAAGACCATTAACGCCACCGCACCACGCGCGGACGACCATTAGCGGGCCTCCTGCACATGCACATACAATGCAGCCGTCTCTTTCTCTCTTTATATTGATAGACAATTTTTGTTAAGTTCATGCATTATACCGAGTTTGTGCATACGCACACACGATTATTCAAATTTCGCCACGTGATCCGTGCAGATTTTTTATACGCACGCCCATGAGGCCCATCGCAGCATTACGGAGGAACTGGGTCGAAAGGATTTTTCCCTATCTCGTTGCGGCTGTCTACTCCTGGCTATGAGAGATGTCTGATTTCTGCGCGGGAATAATACAAATTCATTGTTAATGAAGATTTTATGCGATTGAAATGTGTTATATACTCTATGTCGATGTTGAAATTAAGTTAATTGATCGTCTAATTCAACTCGCTCTCGGACTTGCAATAAACCGTACTTAACGAGGCT